GAGGCTGGGGAGCAGCTGAGAGGGGTGCTGCGGGGAAGGAGGTGAAGGAAAGAGGCGAGTATGCTGTGTGACAGCATGTGGGAGGCGAGGAAGACGGAAATAGCTCCAGAATGCATGAGCTGGTTGCTCCTAGTAGGATCTGGAAATAAATCAAACTTCGCTGAGGATTACGGGGTGATGGACGTCCAGGAGGCCCAGGACGGCTCCACTTCGGGGGGGCAGTCGTCATAGTGGAAGGTCTGCCACCCACCTCGCACACCTGGAAACGCCACGTTATGGTCCCAACCTGAGCACATCAGGGTGGAGGGAGCTTAGATGAAGACTCACAAGAGACTGATGTATAAGCCGGGGCCACGTGCTCATTTCCAGTGGGGACAAGCCCTTGTGAGGGCTGGAGTTCTCTCTCCCTGTATCAGGACACCCCAGGGCCCACATCAGAGTAAGAAGCACATCAAATTACAGAGCGTCGGGTGGGCTTAAAGGCCGGTTCGTCTGGGCTACGGGAGGGGTAATGGGTGACTCCACAGTCAGGACCCCATCAAGAAGCAGCTGGACCCCCCTACACCCTCGCCCTGCTTCTTTGCCCCATGCTCCTGCTTCCAGTGACAGACAGGGACCCCGAAGAGCATTGTGAGACTAAGGGGCCCAGGGGATTCAAGACTTCTGACACCTGCGAGAGTCCAGCCTCAGTGTAACAGCTGCTTCCCTCGGTCAGAGACCTTTCCATTTTCCCTTTTCTTGGAAGAGTGTTTCCAGATTCTTCTCTTTTCTAGAAGTGAGGTCTTCAGATAACAGGGTGCTAATTTTGACAGCTTCTGAGAACAGGTGGCGGGAACAGGCAGACCCAGAGCAAACACCTTCCCTGAACACTGTGCCCCCATGCCCCACACCCCAACCCCACCCTGTGCCTCGCACAGCCGGAGGCTTAGCCTTGACCCACTGACAGTGGTCATTTCTGTGCACAAAGGAATTTGTACGTTGTGGGAACTGATTTTCGAATGGGGTTGGAGACACGGAAAGTCCGAGAGCAGCTCATTTAACGCTGTGAATGGATTCATGCCCGCGCGCGCGGGGACCACCAGGTCCTCAGGCATGTCGCCCGCGCGGGGGGCGCTCCTCCCACGCGGGGACACGCACCCTCACCTCCGTAAGGGTGACAGGACCCTAAACGACCACCCTTAGGGAAACAGGAGTCTGCCCTGTCCTACCGCTCCAACCCCAGGGTCTTTTCAGCCCCCTGAAAAATGCTAGAACGCGAAACCGAGCGAGACTCGAGCTGCGCACAAGTCCCCGCATCGCCGAGAGCCAGACCTGGACTGGACCGGAGCCCGTCTGCCACCGGGATGGTAGCAACAGACAGCGGGCAGCCACGTGGCGCAGGGCAGTGGCTGGGGCCCGGGGTGTCTCCTCCCCCTGTGCACCGCTGGCAGCCCAAGCCCTCAGTTCCCTAGCCCCCAGGGGTGCGCGGCCCCTGGGAGAGGGTACCGTGTGGGGATTGCTGGGGACCGCAGGGCGGGTTCCCCATTGGGTGGGTTCCGCAGGGCGGGTTCCCCATTGGGTGGGTTCCCCACCCTAGCCCAGTGGCCAGGAATGCGTGGGCGCGAACCCCTGGCGCGCTGCTGCCTGGAGTGTCTGAATGGCAAGACCCACGCGGGACCCTGAGTAGGGCCAGGCGCCCCGGCTGAGCACTGACCCGGTTTCTCGCCCAAAACCCCAAAGTGTTGAGTTCTGAGGTGCTCCGTACACTGCAGGAGCTCCCTAAACGCACAGCAAGGAGTCCATGGTACCAGGACACAAAGGTGGCTGAGGTGACACACACAAAGCCTTTGCTAGGTCTGGG